TGGCATTCTCCTGATGCGCCGTCGAGTCTGGAGGGTTTAAAATCTTAGGAAATCCTTTCTTCCTAATCTATCCTCTTTTGGCGTTCACATACGGTGTTGCTCAGTCCCAGATACCAGAGGAGAAGGCCAGCTTCATACCAGGGAGTTTTGGCAGCGAGAAGCTTGCAGCAGCGTGGAGGGGATTCCTGGGTGGTAGCACATGGGGCACACAGGCAAACAGGCTGCTCAGCAAGTAACACACCGTCGGCATGCCAGATATTTCAACACGCACTCCAGCGCTCTGATCAAATCCTACATATTTCTGTCCCAGTCCTAGATCTCATCGTGCATTAAGCCCACTTGGTGGCAGGAGGAAGCCTGGCATTAACAGTTTGTTGCGGTGCTACAAACTACTGACAAGGCTTCCTGATGTCATGTAGAAGTGGAAGACATTAAGCATGTATGAAATATTTTAAAATAACAAATATTATATATGATGTATTTAGGAAAAAAAGTGCCAAATCAAGAGTTTTGCAACTTTTTTTCAGAACAGATTGAATTGTATTGAAATCCACTGCTGATGAATACTTTCAGCACAGATCAGTCCTGGGTTCCAAGGAAAAAGGTAAGCAGGCCCAAGGTTTAATTCACTAACTTTTGAAAATTAAAATGGTGAAGGCTATTTGCCAGGGTGACACTGTTTGCAGGCTTCCACATGATCAAAATGTGCTCAGGAGACAGCCCTGCTGACGATGCCTGGCTTAGCTACTGCTTTTGTCCATCTAGCACTCTGTAACAAGGCAGATCTCATCTGCTGCTCTTGAAATGATTTAGCAGACATCAACAATTTGATGTTAAGACTATTTGAAATTAGATGCACAAGAATTCAGTGCAAAACTTAATTTTGAAGATACAAGACACAGAAAGCAAAGCTTTGTGCAGGCTGTTCCTAAGGCTGGTTAAGCAAAGGGTATATTTGGAAAGAGGGAGGTGGTCACAGTGACATACAGACAGTTGCCTGTATGATTAAAAACTCCTCCCTGAAGTGCTGAAATGTCCTACAGGCAGCACATGTACTACCCCGCTGACCTAAGTGGAAACTCCATGTACTCAAACAAAGATTGAATTTAGCCACCACACATCACCACGCTCCAGGTAAATCCTCCCCCCAAAACAAAACTAAAACAGCTCATCAAGTAAGCTTGTAATGATTTAAAACCTTGAGCACTGAGTAGCCTGAGTGGGTAAGATAACAGTAAGAGCCCTACATAACTTATCTGTGCTGTGTTCATCGTATTACTTGTGGCAGAGAGACCAGATTGGGACTATTCCCAGCTGAAAACTTCACTGATCTGCTGACCCTGGCACCACTGCAGGGCACAAGTAAAGTCTCTGCTAGACCCACCACTGCCATTTCTAGACTAGTGAACTAGATGTTTCTATCTCTCAGAAGAAACTGTGCATAGAGAGGAGAAAGTAGCAGGATTTGGTGCTCAGCCTGGTAACTGCAAATGGAGACATGATTTTATATGAAGGTAGAGTAGGAGGTGAGAATCTCAGTTAAAGATGTGCCTTGGTGCATAAGTGCATAAGACTGCTTTATCCAAATCACACTATAAATCCTGGTGCCATACTGCCAGGATAAACCCTCTCTTACATTCCTTCTGGGTTCCAGGCTCAGGCTCTGTGCAGCACACTCCAGCTGCACTCTTAGGTCCTGTGTCTCCCCCAGTGTGTGTATATATGCACATGCAGATGAAAATAACTTCTGGAGGATCAGGGTTGCAAGGACAAAACAGGACTTTACATAGCACTGTGTGAGGGCTATGGATCATCTTTCAAAGTGAGGGTGGCCAAGGTCTCTTCAGAATTTGAGCCTGATGACAGCCACAGGCACAACAGCACTGAAAAGCCTGGACAAGAGGCTGGTCTAAACCTTGGATTTTGCTACTGGAATTTCTGAGGAGTCCAATAATTGGTCTAGGAACCCTAATACTACCCACCAGCATCTAGGAACTAAAGGAATCTCTCCATCTAATAATTTCTGCTTCCAGATACTATTTCTGAGCCTTGGATAAAGATCTTGCCCTGTACTCTCTACTCCTAGCTTACTTTCCTTCATATGATTGCCCAATCCATCTCGTTTCCAGATTCTCACCATCCTGCATGAGACTTTGTCTTGGTGTACAAATGCTTTGTTCCCATCAGACCATGGTTCCCATCAGTCCTTGAAGCTGGACTTCACGGTCCTGGGCCTTGCTCCTAACCCTGCTTGCCTCTTGCCCTTTGGGCTGGGGATCCGCAGGGCAGTCCTGTGTGCTGGTATTGGCTGACCCTGCACTGCTGTCTGTTCCTTGTTCCTGGTCCTAATTGCTGGGCATGCTTGTGCATACGCTGATTGAGATCCTCACACACCATGCTGGACATGCCTTCTCTTCACCTCCTTGCTACTGCTTTTCCCTAGTCTCTCTTGAGTTTTATAACAGGGCTCACATCCGTTTCCTGCTCACCTCTAATTAGCAGCCATGGGTACTCTCCTCTCTCCCAGCCTGCTCAGCGCCTCTCTCCCTGCAGCTACCGGGGGGCAAGAGGGAGCAGGGAAGCAGCAGGCCATGTTCTGGCAGGGAAGAGCAACCACGTACTTCCCTGCTACATCATCTTGTGGAGCTACACCATGCATCAAAATCCATCAGGTTTCAACATGATATCCATCTGGCACGAACTGTTCCCCTAAGGTGTAATTTGTGCTCAAGAAGGCACAGGAGATGATTGAAGAAATAATACAGCAGCTATAAATTGGTCTGAAAACAGCTGCTGGAAGCAAGTAGAGAGGAAGCAGAGTTTAGCATCACTCTAGTGACTGCAAGAAGGTACCATATAGTGGTAGCTGCATTTCTCAGCTTCCCACCCCATAATATAAATCACAATAATTTCTTGGATGATTAAAAAAAATGGAGCTAGAAACCTTAATTTTAAGAGACAACTGCACCTCATGCCTTTAGAAATGGAGAGACAAAGGGCTGCTGAGTATAGGCTATATAGCAGCACATTGTGTCTGTTCTCACTAAGTCCCCCTGCCCCCCTTCCCATCGCCTTGTGACAGGCAAAAGTGCCCTTGATAAATAGGCTTTAGAATGCAGGGAACTTGACAAGGAGAGCGGCAACTCAAAGAGCATGACTGGACTCTGCAGCAGACAATGGGCACTCTTGCCCAGTGTGGTGCTAAACCCACCCAAGAGGAATCAGTGATGTGGTAAAAAGCTACTCCTCTTTGTACAACCTGCAGTGGGCAGGGCTTGGCCATCACCAAGACACCTGCTCCTCTGTGGCCACCTGCACTTGTGCAGAGTGGGTGTGAAGTGGGGACAGGCGGTCAGTTGTGGCAGTGGCATTTGACACCCTCCAGCTTTGTGCAGATGTAAATGCCTTCACCAGGTGGGAAGCCCTGTGATGGTACCCAGAGCAGGCAGTGTGTGTTTACACATCAATTGTGCTATCCCCTACACCTCTTTTACACTGGCACAGCTCCAGGGAGTTACTCCTAGATCACCGGCCTGGGAGTGTAGAGGTTGGGTCTGGGCTGTCCAGCCCCCACGGATCATGCTGGTGTGTATGCTGGGCTGAGTGAAGATCAGCACTATTTTGGGTAGATGAAAGCTTACAGTGTGGTGCTACAGAAGTTAGGAATGAGGGAGAAGAGCTGTACTATAGGCACAATGTGAGGTATACACAGTGGTTATATGGATGCAAGCAAGAGGAGACTGGGAAACTTTAGGTCAGGAGATTGCCATACATGCCCTGACCCCGAGCAGGGTATAAAGGCTGAGTATTGCCTACGGGTACATTACAGTGCTCCTACACAGGATCTTCCAAACAGCACTGGGGGTTAACGCTTTGTGCTTTCAATCCACTTTATCACACTGGGAAGGTTTACACAGATTTGGTGCAGGCAAAAAAACCCGCAAAATAGCAAAAAGGGAAAATTACTGTGTCTTGATATTCCTTTATATCAACTTCCTTGCAGTTCTATGTGTGGATGATTTTCTACTACAATCACAGCTGTGGCTTGTTGGGGTTTTTTTTCCCCTCCTCTAGGCTCTAGGTTTATTCAGTGGACAGCTTGATTTTGATCCAATGTGAAATAGGAAGACAGTACTTTCTGTGCGATTTCTGCTTTACACAGAAGCTGAAAGGTATGTGCATTTTTGAGTAATCTAGTAAAAAGAGATACGTTCCCTTCATCCTACAACCAGAACGCAACTGAGTATGGGGGAAAAACACAGAGAGTCACCTCATAATAACCAGGAGCTAAAGAAGGGCAGTTATTTGCATGTGCACAGCTGCACCAAATGCAGGCAATTGCAACCTTATTTCTGTCATGAATCAGGAAATTAGTTTCCTTACTATTTGATTCTGCTGGGTTTCCCATACACATTACATAGCTACTTCCTAGAAGTCTGTAAATAGCTTTCTAGACTTTGCGGCTTTCCTACTACTTCTTGCTTCATGCATATTTTTCTTCTCTGTTTTCTGATGTATTATTTGAATGCCTGGCATTTTAGTAATTATGTATGAGAGCCTAGACGACACTGGGCTGAATGATGGAGTGAAGAGGGGGCAGAAGGAACAATCCCCAAGAAAGATTTTGAGGCATTACTGACAAACAGGATAGTGAGAAGGCTTTATGAATTGCATTAAAATTAAATAGGAGGAGGAGGAGGAACACCATGTTGATTTGAACAGGGAGGAGGAAGAAGTGAGACACCTATGGAGACCCTGGTCTTTCTGGGAACTGAGGCAGCAATGGCAGGAGGCCTGAGGAGCAACCTTTTCCTTTCCCCTTTCCTTAAGGCTGGCAGCGGTGCTATCTGAGACTCTGCCCTCTGGGCTGTTGGCTATTAATAACTGCAGGATGCCTGCATGAGCAGCCTTCAGGAGTCAAATTCACAGCACTTCGCATCAGCACTTTGTGCTGGGCAGAGCTTGCCTGCGCCCAGGCACCCTGGGTGAGCGGGGCTGCTGGACAAGCCTCCCAGCAGCACCCAGAGACAGGCTGGGAAGAAGTAGCCCACTGCCGAGCTGTGGGGCAGGTGCGTGAGCTGGTCTGAGCCTGGCACTGCAAGCCTCAGGTGAGTTGACTGGGCAGCCAAATAGTATTGAGCAGGAACTGGAGAGGGTAAAGACCGGTTTGGTGTGCAGCAGAAACAAGGAGATGACTGCTGCAAAGACTGATGCAGGAGAAGATAGAGGAATTGCATCAAGGGACAGAGCTCAGAGGAGAAAAGGATAATTGGGGCCCTGGCTTTACGTACGGGATAGTGGGGAGGATGGGGACTGAGGCTCCAGCAGCCTCCTCATGGTGGGGTGGCCGAAAGAGCTGTAACCCCAGAGTAGCTCTGGACCCTGTCCACAGTGAGAGACTGCTGCCCCATTCCTTATGCTAGACCAACTGTATACAGCAGGTTTTCCACTCCCCAGTCCTGATGGGTTTGTAAAGGAGGACAGTGGAATGGGTCGGACTTGCCCTCACTGGTCCCTGAGAATGGGTGTGCTAGATTAGCACGGTTCCTCACCGGGGCCAGCCCTTTCTGCCTTGCACCAGGGAGCCCACATTTGGGGCACTCAGATGATTTCTCTCTGTTTGGCCAGTCTTATGACCCATCAGACAAGCCATAACCTCCCACCCGTCTCCTGCTGGCAGCATTGCCCCTTTCCTGTCAAACAGGGCCTACTTCTTTTATATAGCCAAGCAGATGTCTGGCTGCTCGAGGAGAATGTGCAGCGCGTGCTTTATGGCTGCACCTGCTCACGCTTGCTTTGGGAATAGACCAGGATGGGCTCTTTTATGATGTGAACTGCTTAGGCAGCATCTTGGTAAAAAAGAAAAGCTTGGAAACCTGAAAGAAAAACGAATCCAAGAAAAGTGTATCTGCCAACGTTATTGGAGCTGGTTTGCTGTGGCTGGGCTTCTTTTAGCAGTTATCACCATCTCACCACATGAAAATCATGTTGCAAAAGGAGCAATGATGAAACTGCAAAATACATAGGAGACAAAAATGTCTTGATCACCACAAGGTCAGTGTACAGACTCCTAGAGCCAGCTGTTTGCCTGCTGGTTTTAGAATATAACTCATATTTCAATGTCTTCAGTTCTGAAATTTTAAGCAACTACAGTGCAAACAGGCAGAGGAACAGAGATAGTTATTGTCTGCATTTGCTGAAGCCAACAGGTCTTTGCTCATTTTTATTTGTATTGTATTGTGTTAGGTGAGGATCTGTTCCTCTGTATGCTGTTGTTTGGGTATGGACAGTGCTGAAGTGAAGGCAAGACATTTGCCCTACTTGCATTATGTGTGATAACGCCCAGGAAGAACTCTGAGAAGCTGCCTGAAGCGCAATTGCTTTAGAGATGGGGAACAGTGTACCAGAAGAAATCTGCCTCTTCCCCTCCTCCCCCCCAAAATGATATGTGATAAGATCAATATGTAAGATACAAGAGCAAGTGGCTTCAAACAACTTGGGCAAACAAATTTTCCTTTACCAAGTTTTCCTGTGCCTTTTCCCCCCAGCCTTTCTGTAACAAAACAGTAGCAGTCATAAAAGACAGAATTACTTGGGGTTTTGATTTGGTTTTTTGTTTCTTTTTTCAGAACTTGCAGTCTAGTAGCTTTCTGAATATGTATTCTGATTCTAATTGGACTATCTAAATATCCAGCCCAAACTTGCATATTATTCAAAATCCTCCCAAAATAACTCACAGAGAGACCCAAAGTCTTTATACAAAAATATATATTTCCACCTACTGATAACCGCATGGTATTGTAGTATGTTATGATAGAGCACAAGGTGATAACAGAGTACCACCATGGCAGACGGGGGTGCTGCGAGACTGCCACGTTGCAATTAAAATGCCTGTTTTGGATGACAATGTTATATGGCACCTTGGCAATGCTTCTGCTCTGATCTGCTGACATATTTTGTGTCATAATGCTAAGTTTCCAGAGAACACCACAATAGCCTGCTGATGGTATGCTGTTGGGGATGATACCATTTACTAGCCCCTTCATGTGGAAGGGATGGAAAAGAACCTGTGTGTGAAATGTGTCTCTTAATTGTAGATGGCAACTGAAAGGGAGGCAAGAAATACCTTTCCAGTGTTTCATTCTCCATTTCATTGTGTGTTTAGAGCAAAGAACCCTTTGTGGGAATGCCCCTTGCAGGGACTCCTGCTCCTGTTAAAAGGAAAAAGTCCACTAAGCTCACTGGGAAGCTGACACACGAAGGTAAGATATGCAAAACCGCACATGTGAGAATTGTTTGGATTTCAACCTGAATTTCAGCCTTTAAGATTTCACACCCTGTCTGACTGAACTCCCAGAGCAAGACACGCAGCGAATGTACCAGGAGGCAGAGCCACAAATATTAATAAAGCTCAGGCTTCAACCACATCACATCTTCTAATTTACTGTTCAAAAGTGTTGCACACATGCTCAGGCCAAATGTTGATCTAGATCACATTTGGTAAACTCATGTTCTCCTGCAGCATTCATTTGGATGCATAGCAATGTGAATGGCAAGAGAACATGATCTTTTACAGGTAACAATATTGCAGTGCCTAGTTATATTTTATGGTTTTTTCTCTCTCATAACCTTTGCCTCTGAATTGCTTTTCCTCTATGTGAAAGAATGCCCTTGAATCCAGCACTCATTAGTTGAAAAAGTCTAAGTCTTGTGGAGAGGGTAATATATCAGGAAGAATATAACCTGGAACACTTTTCTTTTTACAGAATACCTGTGTATTGGGTAGGGTGCCTTTTAATTAACTGTAATATCCTTATCTTCTTTTTACTTTTGACAGCATGGGGAAGGTTTTTAGAGGTTTTGAAAAATCATAATTCAGTGCTGTCCCTTTCTTCAGTCCCCAAAGAGGGCTGTAGAAACCTCTTTGCTAGGGTAAAGGTATACATTTTTCTGTTCATCTCTAATCCTCTGTTTAAGTAAACAAGTAAGTAAAACCAAAATTTTCACTTAAAGGCCCTTTCCTCCTGTGCTATGAAATAGTGCTATATGAAAATGGCTTCCTCAAAAAAAAAAAAATCATCACAGAGTAATAAAATAAATTTCTAATAAAATGAATGGGTTTATATCAATTTTATACCAGTATAAGGATGGAGATTCATTCTCTGTTGTAAATGAGATGTAGAGGTGGATAAGTGGTCTTAACCTTGCTTAATACAGAAATAAGAAAGCCTAGGAAAAGTTGCTTGTTTCTGCATAAAGAGCTTTAATTGTATTCCTGCAAGATTTTTACACTAAAAACATTCGAATCCATTGCTTTGATGGAGAATTGGTTGTAGCAAATTAAATGGAAAAGGACTTATCGAGTAACCAGAGTATTAAGACTTGAGGAGAACTTCAAATATTTTTCTCTTTAAAAAAATCTGCTTAAAACAAACAAAAGATGTAGTAACACTGAATATTGCCATGGTTTCAGGATAGTGTTTAAACCAAAGCATGCTAGAGGTGTCTTTATTTATTCCATGTCAGCCTAATTCATGGAGCTGACTGACACATCTCATTCCAGAGGAGGGGAGGCAAGTGTAGGTGCATTGTGAGGCAGTACTGCAGAATCCTGCACGGACTGAGGTGCTTCAGATGTGGGACATATGCATCTAGTTCCACCCTTCCCTGTGCAGTTTTGCCTTCATTGCAATTCAGAGTGAGTTCCACTCATCCGTATCCAAAGCATCATCTATTTCAAAATTTGGTGCATAGCTTATTTCATAAAAATTTAATTTAGAAGAGAATTTGGCTGGTTTGAAGTCACTACTGATGCTGGGAAGCAATGGACAAGAACTTGGACCAGAGCACTTGTAAAGCATCCCATTTCATGTGTTTTGTAGTCATGCCACAAGAGGTATCCAAGCTGAACTTGGGGAAGAAGATCAGCATCCCCAGAGATGTGATGCTAGAAGAGCTTTCTCTCCTCACTAACAAAGGATCCAAGATGTTCAAACTACGTCAGCTGAGGGTGGAGAAGTTCATTTATGAGAATAACCCTGATGCCTTCGCCGACAATTCTGTGGTAGGTTGGAGATTAAAACTAAAAAGCTGCTCTATACACCCAGGGGAAACAGGAGTGGAGTGTGCCCAAGCTCTCCTTTGTCTGTATGTGCATGGGCTAGAGGGGGCTGCATCAACTGCCAAAAAAGTGCAGGAAAAAGCCAGAATCATATAAACACAAAAGTTTTATCTCATCTTGGCAACACCATTAATTTCCTTTAGCAAATACTTGGTATGACCCATGCAGAAGCATGAGAAAATCCAGCACTGAGTGACAAGGGAGGACTGCATGTTTGGCAGGTGTTCAGACCTGCACAGGGCAGGACTAATTGGTTTGTACCCATTCTATTTCCTCTTTGCAAGACGGAAATGATCCATCCAGGTCTGACTTCAGCTCCAGTAGGTGCAGTTCTAATTTTAGCCTAGGATACACTTCTATGCTTCCTTCTGGGGAGAGTCCTCTGCTCATTTCTGCAATAAGTTCCATAAATGAAAATTCAGACAGAATCCTCCAGCCTGACACTGCAGTACCTTCAGTTTATTTACTAGGAGCTATGCTCGTTTTCTTCTAAAGTATTTTCCTCTCAGATATGGTGTATGAATTCAGACATTCTTTTTTTTTTTTTTTTCCTTTTCCCATGAGTTAGTACTGTTATTTAATCTTTGAACACCTATCTACAGTTGGTTTCTGGGTGTAACGTCTTCTGGAGGTACTTAAACTTTTACAAGAGAAACTATGCTTCCACATGATTGTCAGCAGTTCAGTAAAACAAATAGTAAACGGTTCATGTTCATATGCATTTTGATGCAGCATCTCCTCTTCTGACGTTCTTTAAAATTTATTTGATGTCATTTTATCCCTTTATGGCATCTAATTGCCATTCCAAGGAAACTCAACCAAAATAATAAAAATCAAGCTGAAGAAAATGTTCTTCCAAACAAAACCATGCATTTTTTAGCCTGCTGATGTTTTCAAAAGGAGCAAATTGTCAAATGACAATCTGGGAAGCAGGTTGTGGAAAGATGCCTGAAAAAAGAAGTCATTAAAATTACAACAGTAGGTCAGATAACAGACCAGGGATGACAGACCAGAGATATACACGCATATCCAGTGTTGTTGGACTTCGGGCAGTTTCTTCATCTCTTTGTGCCTAAGGTAGTTCATCTCTTCAATGAGCTATCTCCCAGAAAGGATGTGAGAAGGAATGGTGTGTTGAACTTCAGACTCTTCAGATGAAAATCCTAGAGAAATGCAAGCTGGTTTTGTAAATATTTAGCAATCTCAGAGCTCCTAAAACATATGAGGGCCAAGTTCATATATCAGAATCTGCTGCAGTGAGGAGTGAGACAATAATAAGGTGAGGGAATAAAAAAGGCTGAAGTCCAAACTTTGAAAAATTTGAGGGTGTCACTTAAAACTATCTAATCTGAGAAATACAAAGTGAATTATTTGTGACAAACTGACTCAAAACTGGACACGCACAAGGAGTCCTGCCAAGATTGACATTACAAAGGCTGATGATGGTTGCTTCTTTTTTGTTAGCTGTTTTTCCTACTTTGTTTATTCATCTGCATCTGACATTCACTCCATACCCTTTTTGTAGTCAATCTCCCCCTCTATGCTGTGAGAACACCCCTGCTCCCTTGCTTTTTGAGGAGGATGGTAAGATACTGTGCTGTGGAGAAACGTATTTGGTGATCAGAGAAGACCCTAACAAGACCTGGGGTTCTTCATGGCTTTGCTCTATGAGAACAATGGTATGGCCTCTAAATAGCAGTTGGTACTCTGCTTTAAAACCCTCCATCATTCATTTTTTGGGCTACATTTTCTCCACATTCATTGTACAGGTAAGAAATCTCCATTGGTCAGTGCAGGAAGACTTTGGTCTGCCCCACAGCCCTTGACTGGGACCAGGATTTGTTGCCATTTGCTGGCTGCCCTGTGCAAGGACTCTGCCAGCCTGCATCCACTGCCTCCATGGATTACTATTCCCATCACCACAGCCAGCATGAATTAACACCTTTGCTGGCAGTCAGAGCAGTGAGAAGAAAAGCTAAGTGGTCGCTGCAACTGAGCCATCGTCTCGGAGGGCTGGTTGCTCTTGGGCAGGTAAAGGCAACAGATTGGTGGCCTTGCTCTTTTCTTCCAAACCATCAGGATAGTGCCTGACCTTAGCACCAAATTACTTTCATCAGAAAGCCCTTTTAATTGCAATATCTGATTAGCTTTCTGTTTCCTTCCTTTCTTGCTCCTAGATCTGCTCAAAGGTTTAAACAAAAGAGAACCATGGGAGGAAGATAATGGCAGAGTAAAGAATTCCTACTGCTACTTCCAGTTACTCCCCCCCTCCAGTTAATTTTCATGTCCTTTGCTCCCTATCCCAAAGAAGTCCTTGTGCCTTTAAGGCTGTGGGACAGTGAAGGGATTTAAAGCTGGTGGTGTGTTTTCTGCTTTTATATAATAGATTTTTTAACCGTCTTGGAATATTCTCAAGACACACTTAGCAAAGAGGGGCAAGAAAGGTCTGGGATGGAGTACAGATTGTTTCTTTCCCCCCAAAAAAAAAAGTTTAACGGCAAGGTAATATAATATGAAAGCACACAAAGAGAAAGGTTATTAAAAATAAATCCAGACCATATAAGGGATCCCAGAATAGCTTGTGCGGTAGCCAATAAGCCCTCCACACATGGGAGAAGATCTCAGCAGTCTCGAGTCATCAATCCATCCCTCCTGCTTCTCTCCTCCTCCTTCTCCACCCAAACAACCACACTGGATAATCAGATCACTCACCCTAATTTTAGCAGAGAACACATATACATTGTGTGTGTGAACCTCAGAGAGCTGCATGCAGATGTGAGAACCTGCCGCTCTGTCTGTCATTACTGTATCCACACTCAGCCAGTTAAAGGCAAACGGTACCTAAACCCGCAGTCAAAAGGACTGACCGTTCCCAACATGAGCAAAATGAAACACACTACCTACTGTATAGCTATTTTCAATACTGTGACCCCTGTCTCTTGCAAATATATAGAACAAGGGCATGTTTTGGGGGACTGATGAGTTTGACGCTATTAGCACACTGACATGCTGCTAAAAAGGGAGAGTTCATGTGACACGCTCCCTTCTTGGTGCTGAGCTGGAGAAGCAGAGCTCTACTGAGCACTGTCTAGTAAATCAGTACGATTTCTTCTCACGCCAGGCTGTGCCACCCTGTCTCAGGAACTGTGGTTCTCTCCATGTCTCAGAGGACATTATCAACCTCACTGTGGAGCTGCAAGATGTAATTTATTACTGAGTAAAGACCATGATGAAATCCTATCGTGCTATGTGCTCTATTACTGCAGCATCTGACCAACTATAGCATGAAGGAAATTACTACATTTTTGTTTTAAAGGTGAAACTGAACCATGGGTAGATGAATGAATCACACAAAACCAGAGAGGGTCTCGATCTTCTCTCCACGTCACCTAAATCCCACTTCACAGTTCAGCAATTAGATCAGCAGTTCACAGACCTTTTCTCCACTCCATAATGTTAAATTTGTGTGGTCTCAAAGACATCAAGATCACATGAAACTTTCTTTTAGCCTTACAATCCCACTCATGATTGCCCTAACTCATCTCAAGGTACCACCTCTGCTTTGGGAACCTCTGTGGAAGACCTTGCTGCTATCATCAAGTGGAAACTGCCTGGCAGAGTCCCAAAACCATAGTTATGCTTGTTAGGTATTGCTGTTATGCTGGGTTTTTTTTTCCAGTGAGGTCTTTCTGCTAGTCAAAACCTGTGGCCTGATTTAGGTTACATGCAGGAGACAGTTTATAGAAAGATGATTTGCCTCTTTTTTTTTTTTTCCTCTCTTTCTGCTTTACCTACCAGATCTAAATTAAAACCATTTGGAAGGTGGAATAACCAGTATCTGAGTAGACATTTATCAGTAGTAGTACTTCAAAAAAAACCAGACCCACAAACAAAAAATTCCATCTTGATACTTTCTCAGAGTCATCCACAAGTTAAAATAGATGCAGTTTTCACGTCTTGGCAATGCTTGTATGAAAACAAGCTGAACATGTTTCAGCAAGTAATTTCTGCTGGATTTCAGGTCAGGAGGTCTCTTCAGATAAGCTAAGCCACCAACTGTGAAACACAACATAAGAAGTGAAAAAGGGTTAAAGAGGTGGATTACCGTTCTGGATAATGGCAGGAATTACCCTGCATTCCTTACTCAGAGGAGTAAGCAGAGGTGGCAGGAGGAAAATGGAAGTGGTTATGTTACAGTGCCAAAAGTGTTGACAGACAGAAGTACACAAACAACCTGCCTCAGAGATCTTAAGACGTTAAGGAGCCACACACGATACAGTGTGTGAAGGGAAGTGTAAGGATGGAGGCACAGAGATATTACCATGCAGCTGCTTGGTTTAATGCACAAGTGTGCACTGATGGCTCTGTCTGCCCCTTAATGTTCTTAGAAGAATGCCAATCAAGATACTGGAGGCAGGGTTAAAGGAAAAATGTTAGGAAAAGCATTCTTTCTAGGAAGTCTGTTCTGCAGGGAATATTAAACCTCTTGAACAAACGTTATAGGATAACCACAAGCTGAGATATGAGAGTCTCAGGTTATGACCTAAGTGGAGCGAGCCATTGAGATGTAACTTTTCTAACAAAATGAGTCTTGCTGTGCTGGAGTTGGAGTGGTGCAGAAAACCTAGAGGTCCCAACGACATCCAGAGCTGTGTAAGAGTAAATGTGCAGTCTGATGCCTTCTTACTCAAGAAGTGACTGGTGTGGAAACAACAGCATGACAGAGAGGAAGAGCCTTTTATTTTCCACTGCAGTTTGTTGGAGCACTGTGGGAAAATTTTGGACCAAAATTCTGAAACTCAGCTTCTTTCCTAAACAAAGAAAATGCAGCAAGGATGAAATAAAATATACAAATAAAATATCAATATTTTTGGGTGGTATTGGATAAAAAATTCCCATTACTTAAATGGGTAAATTCAGACAGAGAGGTATAAAATAATTTGCCTAAGATTAAACAGCTAGTCAGAACTAGACCTGGAAATAGAAAGCAGGAGCTCAACGCAATGAACTGTGACTCTTGGGGGAGTATGTTTAAAAAATTTAGCTTAAAATACTTTAACAGCTGAGGTTACTTTTTATTTTCATAATTTTTTTTAAGTGAACCATAGGCTTAAGTCTATGCAACTCTGAATTAAGGAACAAGGCACAGACTTAGATAAAAACAGCAGGCAGTCCACAAGATTCTGAAGTATCTGAATTTTAAATCTCCCATCCCACTATTAAGGAGCTTTTGAGTGGCTGCCACTGAGAGGATGCAGTCACAGTAACTTCAGAAGTGTTGGTAACCACATAGGCATCAAACCTTTGGGAAGCCCTTTATCAGTGAGGTGGAAATAGAAACACATTTGGTGGCCTCAATCATTCTCTTTAGGGCACAGCAAGGAGGTGACGGGAAGCACGCAGTGTCTCCTCCTGGGGACTGCTTGCAGTGACGTTAGAGCCTTGAGATACTTGGAGATCTCAGCTCCATTAGTTGGATCATCTTTCATTATCTATTTTTCATGAGATACTTGCAGTAGCTCTAGAGAATTCAGAGTTCATCCACCTAGGCACTCAGCCTGCAGGATCAGGCTCTTGCTAGCACTGAGGACTTCAAAACCATGAGCCCAATCTGTTTAGCCAACCCAGGGGACTACACATCACATGAACTTGACACAATTGTTCTCCTGATAGAATGGATTTAGGGATACCCAGGGACTGATAACATCCACTAGCTCCAGCTATGCACAGACAGCACAGACCCTGCCATGGAGGGACTGTTGTGATCTGCCCCCAGAGCCAAGAGGAGAAGGTTATCAGCATTCTCAACTGACACTCCTGGGCTTCTCTCCTGGGCCTTCCACTAACAGGGTCAATCAAACTTAAGGTCGGTTTTGTGATGTGAATATGCATACACATAAAAGCTCCACATCCTGTTAGCAATGGCCCAAGACATCCCCTCAAGTGTAAGCAGTATTTCACTCTGAACATCATGACCAGAGGCATGCTCTAAGTACCAGAGACAAAGCTGCACCTGCTCAGCTTTGGCTACATCGAGACTCCTGCTTGAGGCTGTGGTTCCTGAGCTCTGCTCTCTTGGAATGAGCTCGTTTGAATCCACAGAGGTTCAAGATTTCAAAAAGATGAATTTGCCTTTACCTCCTCTTATAGAAAAAGAAGATTTGACTATTAATTTGAGCTAAAACAATCTATTGTGGTGGCCAAAACCAAAGAAAATCATATTTTTATTTTAGCAGGTGAGTAGACCGGGGCATTACATAGAAAATAAGTCTTTACTCTCTGGATGGAGATGTCTGCTGAACATAGGATGTTTTCCCAGCAGGTCATGAAGAATCGTGAACTAGCCTGAGACCAATCAAATTAATTTAATTTGCACCTAAATAAGATTCAGGTGTGGCTTTCCTGAGGCAGACCTTGTGTTTCAGAGAAACTTCACGCTGGCTTAGTGATAATAGTGCAATTTAAAATAACACCAGATGACAATGATGCCCCTTCCTTGTCACACCAAATACTGCTGTGCACAAAATCAAAGCAGCCCTTTTCACTGTAGCTCATGTTATGCTATGACCTTTTTTTTTCCAGGACAGCGCATGTAAGTTAGCAGAGGAAAAGAGAAATAAGCATTTAATTCTGAGGAAGGGCTCACAGCATGGGTGAAACTTGGAGGAAAACAGATGCAAATCCTGTTTTGAAATTACTGAGCAAATCAACAGAAGCATACATCTTGCATATATATTAACGTTTTGAGAATAACCTCATTCTGACCCCTTGCCCTCAAAAAAACCCTTTTTTCAGTTTGCCTTTTTACAGCTACATAACTCCAACGCATAACTGAACAGATTGCCGGGCTAGCCCCTGCGTACAGCTTAATGCTCACAACCCTCTCCTTCTCAGTGCTTCCTGACATTCAGGGAAACATTATCCCCTCTGTTCCTAAAAAGGGAATTCCCTGCAGCTAGGAGAAGGACAGACAGTCCCTGAAGGCCCTGGGGGCACCAGCTCTGCCACTTCAGCCTGCTGCTGGCTGCCTGCCTGGGTTGCAGCCTGGTGACCTGCTGTGAAACCCTGGACACTGTTGCTGGAGACACAGGGAACAGAGGGTTAGATAATTCTGCCTTGAGCCTTATGGGGTTTTCACTTCTCGTCTATTTTTAGCTGACCGAACAGCTGGCCTTGGAAGCCTGTTTACAGCCTGGAAAGCTTCTTTTTGCTAAACTGTACTAGGTGTAAGAGCCCTGAGAAAGCCTTAACCCTTTGAGAGCCAGCCCTGAGGTTAGCATTCTTGTCTTCCATTGACTGCCTGAGATTAATTTATACAAGCAGAACTGCAGCATGAGGAACCACAGATTCACTGACTTCAGCTGCGTTTGTTAGATCTTTGCGGATCTACATCCAATCCCCTAGTCCAACAGGAAAGACCATATGTGATACATAACTAAGTTATTTGTATTAAGAGCTGTATGGGCTGTAACACAGAGGAGGTATTTTTTGTATCTGATAGGATTCAAGCTTTGATCTCACGTATGACAATACATAAAACATTTTTCCAAACATATTATACCAGTTTCCGTTCCACACTAATATTTATTAGAGTTGCTGTGTGCAAAGACAGGACCTTGTGCTAGCACCACAGGATCTATAAATCCTGCACAGCCTGTTTGATTTTTCACTAAGTACTGCAAGGATTGTGCCTTCTAGCCTGGAATGGGGAGAGTGGATGCCCTGGGCAATAAGACCAACCTGATTTTACTGTTGGATATAGCTTGCTTTCTTACCTTGTTGCTAGTTAGATTTAGTTCATTAATGGACATATTGCTACAAAAAAACCTTTCTTTTTGTCATTTTCCTCTCCCTGTCTGCCAGAAGTCTTGCCTGTTTTCCCAGGCTGCTCTGTCTTCAGTCTTTCTCAATGTGTAAATACCCCTCCCCATGCAGACGTTCATATATATATGGCAAACAGACATACAGGCTTCTATGTTGTCAGAGGTAGCCTGTTCTGATGCCCTGTAACACAGCTCCCACATTGTAATCGAGCTGACTTTGCTGGGCTATCTTAACCTTGGCATGAAAACACTTCCTATTTCTTTTCCAGCTTGCTTTCCCACAGCTTAGCCAATATAACTCTGCCTGGACCTTTACCTGCTACGGCAAAAGGTGTATTTCCTTTTCTCCTGTGTTTCATACTGATCGCTGCTGGGGACAATACACAGATCCCTCTCTTCTCACCCTGATCATCTAAAAGCACTGTGAGGTGTCCACTAAAAGGTGTGCTCCCATTGCCCTTGCTGCTGTTCTGCAACTGCTCCTATACTGCATATAGAGAATAACTCACACAAAGATCTGCCACTGCATTTGTAACTGAGACACAAAACTGGTTGGGTAACGGGGTGTCAGGAGTTCACGTTCTGGTACCCAGCCCTGCAAATGTGAATGGACCATGTCCTGTAACAGGGATTCCTATGCTCTATTCTCCTGCCCCAGGATCACTTTCAGAAGTTCATCCCACCAGGAGGGCATTATGGGGAAGATGCTCATGGCTATGCCCACGGGCGGATGGTAGGAGGAGTGACAGCTGGGCAGCACGGCTCCAGTAAGCAGCAGTATCCCGGTGTTCCTCCTCGGCCTGGAAGCAAAGGGGGCCCAGGGGACAGTGAAGGGGATCGTGCGGGGGAATCAGCTGGAGGTGGTGAAGGAGGCGATGGTACCGACAAAGGCAAGTATCTCTCTGCAAGAACAAGAAATAGCTGAAGCTATCAGAGCTCATGCCAACCTTAGGGACTAGTAAATAAGAAGATTTGGATAATCTTCAGAAAGGAACAGCAATATTGCTAAAAGTTATCTAATAATCACCATGAGTCTACTGAAGCAATATCTTTATGAGTAAAAGCAGTTTTAATTTAATTAGTCTTTGCTTAATTTTATCTGTTGTCAATTTGGCCGGAAACCTCTAGAACCAAAGCCTTTGTATGAGAATCATCAGGTCAAATGGGTATTTTAACAGTCCCTATGGGATTTCACAACAAAAAGCAAATTTCCTTGCAAATCAGAAACTGCTGTTTTAAGTGACCAAGTGAGTGACTTGTAAAATCCAAGGCTTTTCATTTACATTCTGGAAGAATGTGCATTTTATATCAAAATCAGCTTTTACATTTCTGGGAATCCCTGTGAAAAAGAAATTTGTGTAGACTCTCTTGTCTTCTTATAGGAGATTTTCTCCACTGTTATCCTATTTCTGCATGCAGGAAAGAGGATTAACATCATGCCATAGCTTTTACTGCTTTTATTTTTCAACCCTAGCAATCAATTTACTTTTAAACCACTTAATTTAGGTCCTCCACACAGAAATGGAGGGTAGTGGGTTTTAGTGTTATAATGAAAATGAGATTCATGTACATGTCTGCAATTCCCTGAAACCAGGAAAGCCCAGGATTTGGCAAGGTTTGAAGAAAATAAGCAAAAAGAAAGAAGGTGTGATAGTTTCAGAGAAGAGTTCATTCTTTGCCACTTACTTCATAAGGATTTATGTTTTCTACACAAACTCTAGCACCATGAAAGCACCAGGATGTCTAACTCCATTAACCTATTATTCCCATCTGCCCCAATCAAGTTAAGTGGAAATGATTGCTTAGGCGTTTTAAGGTTTCTGAAGGATGAGAATCTTAAAAGCATGCTATGTAACAATATATAACCGGTGCTCTTATTAGCAACGTGTTTTTATACCCCCCCCCCCCAAAAAAAAAAAGCACACAGAAAACCCTTGTCTGAGCTCATTTGCTTAATGGAGCAGCCAGAAACTAACCTAAAATTTCTGGCCATCAAGTATCTGACTTAACAGCAAAGTGCAGCTCTGCCATTGACAGGATTTTAACTTCCAGAGAGATACACCATCATATTTTCAAACAGCTTTTAGCCATTCTGAGGTGTTTGAGCCAGACTTGTCTCTGGCATCCTGGCTCAGGAGGGGAAGAACTTGAATGTCTGTTTGTGTAAGCACAAAGAAAATGCCAATTTATAAAACTACTGAGGCAAGGGAGATGGTAATTTTGGACATTCAAGAATGGACTGTTGAGGAAGACGTTAGTAAAGATAGTTGTGGTTGCCAAGACCATGAAATACGATGGTTCAAGTTTTTTAGTCAGTTAGAGCAAACTTCAAAGTTTGAGCTTAGTTTTGGAGTTTACAGTCAGGACTTTGTACCATCTGATGATGATGATGATGATGTTTATGTGGAGGGATTATGTCTGCTAAAATCAGACAGGGAAGAGAGAAGTAAATTATTAAATTAGATAGCATTTTGTCTTGTATAAAGCTTCCCCTGACGTAGTGAGAGAGATGATGGGATAAGAGCATTGGTTCTCGGGGTAAGAGGTTTCTATTTGAGCAACTAAAGAGAACAATGAAAAATTAGCTTTCAAATATATGCTCTAATGCAAATTCCTGAATGAGTGGCTCTTAGACTGGGGTACGCCTGCTGTGATGGATAAGGATGGAAGTGGTGTATGACAGTCTTTTTTAAGAGAAATCTAACCCTAAAATCTCAGATTTGATCTAGGAATTACAGAATCTGGAAACAAAGCTGGTGTCTCAACTTCAACAGCAAAATACAGAAAGGCAATGTATTTAGAATAAGTGGCATCTAACTTGAGTGTTTTACCTTCTGTTTATAGATGGAAAGTCAGGAGGCAAAAAAATCACTGTATTTAAAACTTACATCTCCCCCTGGGAACGTGCAATGGGTATCAGCCCTGAGGACAAAAGTCAGTTCACCATTGACTTACTGTCATATAGTCCCAAAGCTGATTTCCCCCATTACAAGTCTTTTAACCGGTAAGTCTTCTTGGATGT